TCCTTGTAGGAAGAACAACCTCAGCCTAGAGATGCATGTGCTGTTTTAGAATTGCTGAGGAATAAAACTGTTGCTGCTGAATCTATTCCTATTCCTATTGATTCTATTCCTTTGGAGTCTCCTACTGCTGCTACTGGTGACATTATTCTAATAGATAAAACTCCTGCTCCTCCTAGTATTGATGATGATGAGTTTATAGTATCAGAAAAACAGCCTCCCAAAACACACATTGAGTTAATTGATGTTGATAGAATTCCTAGTCCTATAGATGTTCCTAGTGAATCTACTATGATACCAGCTGATAAATATTCTGGAAAAAGGGAGAAGAGAATTCATGAATTAAGACAAAGGCAGGAGGAGAGATTGGTAGCAGCTGGTGGTTTAGATTGGGTTCTACCACCTATTCACAAGATTCAAATTCAAAATAAAGACAAGATTGTGTGTAGGAATTTGCAAGAAAACAAGCTTTTGTATCTAAAAAGATTGACTGAACATGAATTATACATGTGTGATTACTTGTTTTTTATGCACTATTTTGAGCAGCTTGAGTTAGATCCTACTGGTGAAGATGAGGGAGTTAAGAGGCGTAACAACAGTCTTTACGTAGAAGATATAGGTACTGTTATATGTCAGTTTCCCACTGAAGATCCTGAACATAGTGATCTTATTTTGGTAAAGGAGGAGTTCTGTTCCCTACGTCCGTCTGAGTGGGTTAATTCTGCTATTCATGATACTTGGGCTACTGTGCTCAACATTGAAGAGAGTAAAATAACTGACATAGGAGTTTTTCAATATAAAAGATTTGTTTTTCAAACTGAAGTTGCTGTAAGGTTTTTTTTTTTTTCTTTACTTCATTCAGAAATAAATTTTATTTATAATATACTGTATTTAATATATTTTTTTGTTTTGCAGAATCTTACATGGAGATACTTAGAAAAAAGGGCAATTTACAGAAAAGAAGTTGCTAACATAAAGAAAAAGGAGGCAATTTTGAAAACTTTGAAAAATAACCCAGTAGAGTATAATAAGTGTAAAGAGGAATTGGTAAAAATGGAGATGGATTGTCAATTGAATATGCATAAAGGTGAGGACATTTATGACAGCATTTGCAAGTGGGTTAAGCGTTTTCCTTCATTCAACATAGCCGAAGCCGATTTGGTAAATTTTTAACTTTATTTCTTCTTTGTATATTGTATATTCAGGAATAAGCTAAACCTAGTATGATACAAGCTTTTATTAGTCAGATTTTGTATTATTTTAAATCAGGAATTATATTACTTTAATCAGGAAATAATTTATTTATGTTAGTAATTAAACTGTGTTAGTCAGGAAAAAAAATTGTATAGTAAGGAATTAAATTGTTTTAGTCAGGAATAATATTGTTTTAGCCAGGAATAAAATTGTTTTAGTCAGGAAAAAAATTGTGTTAGTCAGTAATAAAATTCTGTAAGTTAGGAATATAAATGTTTTACTCAGATATTATGATCTTTTAATCTGATATTTGCTTCTTTTAGTCGGTTAATAAATGTGTTACTTATTGTGAAAATTATGTTTTATTTATTTAGCAGCTATTCTTTCCCATTGCGTTCGATAATCATCATACTCAGCTGGTTTTCAATTTCATTGATGGTATTGGTCCAAGAATAGATTGGATAAATAACAGGACTGATATTGATCGAGATAAATTAAATGGAATAGACAGAGTGCTGGTAAGATAATTTTAAATTAAATTTGTGAAAATTATACTTTTAGATGCTTTTAAATTTTATAACTTATATATTTATAATTACAGATTAGAGCTGTTGGTATTTTTCTGAAAAAGCATGAACATCGACATGGTGACACAAATTTGGAACAATTGGAATGGCATGAACCTAAGTTTACATGGCAAACAAGCCATGAAAATGAGGATTGTGGCCTTTTTACATTAATGTGTATGAAAAATTACAATGGTATAGCTGGAGGTCTTGTCGACTTGAAATATGTAAGTATTTTTTCTCCTTTGTTTTTGGAATTTTACCTATTGTTTTTTAGTGTTCTTATTTTGTTTTTTATATAAATTTGTAGAAGCAAAATCGGAAGATATATAGATGCCAACTTGCTTATCAGATGGCTACTAGAGAAGAGAATTTTTTGCGGAAGAAATTGTGGAATGATTGCATTGAGTTTTCAATTAACAAGCACAAAATTTGGAAAGCTCAACCTGCAAGAAAGAAGCTATAGGCCCAATATGAGAAAGCAAAGGAAGCCATTCAAAAGGAAAAAGAGAGGCAGTGGAAGTTGATGCAAAAACAACTAGAAAAAGAGCAGCAACAATTGGAAATTGATCAACAGCTTCAGCAAAATAAAGAGGAAGATTATATTTTTTTTTTAAACAATTAATCATACATGTACATTTTTTTTTTGTAGTTAGGCATTAGTTTTCTTTTGTATAGATACTTATAAATTTGGTTTATATATGTATATATTTTCTATTAAATCCGTTTTCTATTAATCATACATCTATATATTAGTCAGATATTAAAAAACTTGAGTCAGAAATTAATATCAAATGTTAGTTTTAAAAATTTTAAATATCAAACTTAAAATGAAGAATATGTTTGTCATAAATTAAATTACTCTTCTCAGGAATTATTTTATTTATGTTAGCAATTAAATTATTTTGGTGAAGAATAAAATTTTGTTAGTCAGGAATAAACTTGAGTTAGTCAGGAATAAATTTCATTTAGACAGGAATAAACTTAAGTTAGTCAGGAATAAACTTGAGTTAATCAGGAATAAGATTTTTTAAATCAGGAATATAGTTGAGTTAGTCAGGAATAAACTTGAGTTAGTGAGGAATAAGATTTTTAAAGTCAGGAATGATATTGTGTTAGTCAGTAATACAATTAGTTTACTTAAGAATAAGATTCTAGAAGTCAAGAATTAACTCAGGAATTAAACTCGGTTATCAGAAATTAAAATGTAATAGTCAGTAATAAAATTGAGTTATCAGAAATTAAATCAGGCATGAAATTGTGTAAATCAGGATTAAAATTAGTTTAGTTAGGAATAAAATTTTGGATGTCAGGAATAAACTTCAGTTACTCAGCAATAAGACTTTTAAAGTCAGTAATAAAGTAAGGTTAGTTAGGAATAACATTGATCTAATCAGAAAATAAAATAATTTTTTTCATAAGTAATCAAACCTCAAAATGCCAAAATATAGTATTGTTTACAATTATCTTGAATAATAAAATAAAAAATTTGAAGATTGGCTTTATGATAGAAGAATGCAGCAATAGGGATGAATTAAATGAGTTGTGGATTAGGAGTTATTGTTCCAAACTCATTTGGATCTCTTGTTGCTGTTCTTCTTCTTTCAAAATGTCCTCTAATTCTTTTGTTCTTCTTTGGCCTTTCCTTTGTTTTTGGTTGTTTTGGATCTTTTACTGTATTTCTTCTTTCTTCTTCTTCATCAAGTTCACGAATTTTTTCTTCATTTGTTTGGAACACTTTCCTTACAGATTTGTACATTTGTTCCAAAGCATCATCACATATTTTTGATGCTTCTTCATTCCCTTGACATATTGTCACAAGGTTGTAAAAATTCTTTGTTATTGATTGTCTCCAAGGAGTGTTTATTAATGAATGATATGTGGTTGAATTTCCTAATCAAAAAAAAAAAAAAAATTACTACATTTTTGTTAGTAATAAGGCAATTTTACTCAAAAAAGAATGCAGCTCATGAATAATGATAAAATTTTTTGCTTCAATAATATTATAATATCAGAAATAAAATTATTTATATCATGAATAATGTAAGAAAAGTCAGCAACGAGCTATGCCATAATATTTTTATTTTCTGTTTCAGCCATAAATTTTCTGACAAAATTGATTTAAAGGTTGTTATCAATTTTTAAAGGCTGTTATCAAAAGTAATTACAGATTAATTATTATTGTTCATACATAACTCTTTTCTATTTAAAGGTTGTTCTAAATTAAGTTTTTTCTATTAAAAGAGTTATATTATAACAACCTCTATTGTGTTCTATAAAAGGTGCATTCTTGTAAAAATAACTTATATTTTTCTTCATCTAATCAATCATCAAAATAATGGCTGATTTCTACGCAAATAAGGAGAAGTGTACTATTATTGTTAAACCAATTGATCGCATTAGTATGGTAAATATATTACATTAAGTTTTAAATTTATAAATTTGTTTTGTGTTTTAGTAAAGATTAAATGATATCATTTTTTTTTCTTTCAGGATCTTCCTGAAGATTGGAAGCTTTTTATTCTGAAATTCAAGAACTTTGTTAGAGTCTTTGCTGGGAAGAATGGCAGAGAAGATAGATTTTGGGAAGTAAGAGTCATAAGCATACCAAAAAATACAGGTTGTGGTGGTATGTTGATTGATCGTGAATGGGAAAACTTTGTAGCTGCGAACAACATAGTTGTTGGAGACAGACTTGATGTTTACCATGATCATTATAACATTTATATTAGAATTTTTAATGCTGATGGTACTGAAAGGCTTCCTAATGAAGCAGGAAGTGGTACCAATGTATAAGTTTTTAAATATTTATATAATTTTATGTTTGTAATAAATCTGATTTTATATCAGAAATAATAAAATATATATCAGATATTATAATATTTTGTTCATGAATAAGATTATTGGTATAACATTATAATATGTTGTTCAGTGTTCATTATGTTCAGGAATTAGATTATTTTTTTCATTTATTAGATTTATTTTGTTAGGAATTAAATTCTGTGTGTCAGGTATTAAAATTTTTTGATTACATAGGAATTAGATTGTTTCAGGAATAAAAATGTTTCAATCAGAAATTAGTTATTATAAATTAAAAAGGATCAGGAATAAGATAAAGTTTGTCAGCTTTAAGGTTTCTTTGGTCAGGAATTAAAATATGTATGACAGGTATTTTAAATTTTATTCAGGAATTAATTTAAATATATCAGGAATTAAATTGTACGCTTCAGGAATAAACTTGTTTCAATCAGGAATAATATTATCTTTTTCATGAATTATATTTTTCACATCAGACATTAAGTTTTCATCTATGTCAGCAAATTATTTATGACAGTAATTAAAATGTTTATCTCAGGAATAAAGATTTTTTTTTTATACTAAATAAACAAGTAATAAATTTTAAAATAACAAAGTATGTACGTACCTGATTCACAGCCATCCCAAATGTTTGATTTAGCAAGCTTGGTCCAACGTTTCAGAATGTATCTCTCTGGAATAGCATGTATGCTGTACATTTGCATTATCTTGATAATGTGAAAGCACAACAATCCAATCTCTATGAAGCACATACACGAACACATAAACTCATTGTTTTGAGTGTAATATATGACTTGATAGGTGTGCATATAATCTTCATCAAGAGAAATATCAAAGAATTTGACATATTGCATTGAAGTGGCTTTTTCTCTTGCATATGCTCCAAGACTTGTTTCAAATTCCAGCTTAAAATCCTTCTATAAGTTTAGAGTATAAACTTCAGCTGCATGTTTTAATATCTTTGTTGTTGTTCTTGGTCTCTCAGTAGTACATCTGAAGTTGTCACTCTTTTCAGTGCTTCTCCATCTTTTCACAGTAGCCTAAAAAATGTGAAAGAACTCCAAAAGCTTTGTGGTTTTGTTGGCCTTAAATGAAATTGCTCTGTTTGTTACTTCTACCCTTTGAGATCAAAGAATTCCAGCTGAGAAAATATCCTTGCTCAATGTTGTGCACCATTTATCTCGTTGACCGTATAACCTATCAAACCATTCTTTTTTCTCTAGCCCATGTTTTTGAACCATCTTGTGCCAACAATCTTCAAAGTCAGATTCAGAATCACATCCACTTAAGCATTTGTGAAACATATTTTTGAATTCAGGATTGGTTTTTAGAGTTCCAAAGTGTGACACAAAATTCTTTTGCAAATGCCATAGACATAGCCTATGTCTTGAGTTTGGATAAACCTGCAACAAAAATTAAATTACTGTAGTCAGCAATATGACTATTATAATCAGAAATTAAAAACATTTAGTCAGGAATTACATAAATTATGTAAGACATTTGTATATTTTTACTCAGGCATAACAATATTAGAGTTAGAAATTAGCATATTTTAGTCAGATAATAGAAAATTTAAATCAGGTATAAATATCTTTAGGTCATTAATTAAATATTTTTAGACTTTTTATTTAAACTTATTTTTAAAATCAACATATTTGTCAGATTATCAGTCAAATTAATCTTCCACTGTAATTCTGCCATTTGGGTCCCAATAAACGGCTAAAAAACAGTAACTTTTTTCCTTTTATAAATCATTTCCTTTATAATTCAACTTTGCATCTTAACTTCAATTTCTTTATATATTACACATATTTGGGCTAAATTGTAACTGTACAAGCAACAAAGGAAAACTTATTCTTGAGTTTTATAAATCACTCATTACGTTTCAGATGACCCTGGTTTTTTGGATGACTGTATCATTGAGTACAGGATGAAGCAAAATGGGACTTGGCCACCCCGTGGTTATCCTCATTATGGTGCCCAACCACCACAGTGAACAGGTCTGTATGCCTAAAATGTGAATAACTTATGTTTGTTGAAATATTGTTGCATAAACTAACATCTATTATATGTTATTGTAGGTTACAAGGTGTCTTGGAATAAGTCATCACCCACAAACAAGAAGAAATGCATATCAGGAATATAATTATTTTAATCAGGAATTAGCATATTTTGGTCAGGAATTAGTATATTTTGGTCTGATTTTAGATGAATTATGAAAGGTATTAGTATATTTTGGTCAGGAATTAATAGTCTTAGTGTTCACTTGGAGTTTTGAATAAGGACTAAAAAAATGTAATAATCAGAATTGTACTTGAGGTACTGGATAAGGACCAAAACAATGTAATAATAATAAAAAGGAATATATTTAAAAATTATCTTTTTTTTTAATATTTTTTATTTGTCTATAAAAGTATTATTTACTTAACATTTTGCATGTTTTTGTACTTTGGTATATTCTCTCTCCTAAAACAAACTTTTTTTCAATATTCCTCAAAAATGCAAAACAATTCTCAGTCTTCTACTTCATCAAACGATCCTCAATATTTCTCAAATATGCAAAACAATTCTCAGTCTTCTACTTCATCAAATGATCCAAAAGAAAATGCAATTGATAACTTTGAAAAAAAAATTAAATGATCTATTGGATATAAGAGATAGAGTGAAGAATGGATTGATGAAGCTCTATGAAAAAGTAGAAAAGAATGAAATCGAAGAACTAAGCAAGAGAAAGAGAGCACAAGAGATATGGCAGGAAACACAGAACAAAATGCAGAAAGAAGAAGATCAACACAAGAAGGAAGAGAAAGAACAAAAAGAAGATCAAAAGAAAAAACAAGTTTAATATCTGAGGAAGAACAACAAGAAGATTATGATTTTAGGGTTTTTTTCTTTATCTTTTTTTTTCCTGTTAATTTCTAGTCACAATCAATATCATTAAAATATATGGAAAATATGATATGCTTTTATGTTTATGTTTCTGTATTTCCTGTTTTTATTATCAAAAGACTTATTCAGATATGGTTTAAAATGATATGGTTTTGTTGGTTTTTATTCATATATTGATTTTTTTTTTAGTATTAATAATTTTTCGTCAGGAATTATATTATTTTAGTCAGGAATTTTATTAATTTTTTATATATTCCATATTTATTTCAGAAATAAAATAAATTATCACAATCAGAAATAAGAATATTTTACTCAGTAATTATAACATTTTGCTCAGAAATAAACTTGAAATGAAATTATCACAATCAGAAATAAGAATATTTTACTCAGTAATTATAACATTTTTCTCAGAAATAAACTTGAAATGAAATTAAATAAATTTGAATTAGTAATGACTTAATTTCGATCAGGTATTAGAAAACTTATATCAGGATTAAGGATCTTGCTATCATGAATAAGATTCTGTCAATGAATATTAAATATTTGAACTTATTAATATATCTTAGTCAGTTATTGCCTTTATTTTATCAGAATTAATATATTTTTGATCAGGAATTATATTACATTAAATTATGAACATGAAACATATATTATTAGTCAAGAATTATATAATTTCTGTCAAGTATTGATCTGTTTTTATCAGTTATTAAGTTATTCTAATCCAGAAACAATATATTATGAAGACAAAAATTCTTACCTCTGGTATGGCGTTACTCATTGCAAGATCCTGATCAGTGAAGATTGATTTTGGTTCGATTCCACACATCGACTTTTTGAAAATTTTAAGAAGCCAAACAAATGTGTCAGTCCTTTCGTCACTTATGAATGCACATCCAAACATTGTTGTTCTCCAGTGACAGTTTATACCAACAAATGGTGCACATATCAACCCATATTTGTTTGTTCTATATGTTGTATCGAAGATTAAAACATCACCATAGGCTTTGAAATCTTCAAGCATTTGAGAATACGCCAAAATAGCTCACCACATTGTTTTCTTCTCCAAATTTCAATCTATAAAAGAATGAAGGATCATTATCTGCTCTCTCTTGAAGGGTATCCAATACATTCTGCATGTTTCCACCTTCAACCATACTCATTTTCACCCTTGATACATAGTTAAGATGGTCTCTCTTAGTATGACCTACACATTCTTCTCCTCCAGCTTCATTGGTGATATAATTGTAAGCATCCATTGGTTTGATACCACTTTAAACCATGCTTTCAATTAGTTCACCCATTGGTGCTGATATTTGCCTTTCTGATCTTAGATGATGACGTTGAATTGCTATAACCAATTCATAATTATGCTCCAACTCATGTGTAACAGCTTCGAAACTTACTTCTTTGGTTTTCTTGAAACGAATATGAGCTTTGCATCCAGTTCTTGTCTCATTTACCTCCCTATATTTTCTCTTTTTTTCATCAATTTTACCCAACATGGGTATTTCCACTGAATTTTGTTCACCTGCCATCTTCATTTTACCCTTTGTATGCCCTTCTTTAGAACATCTAAAACAAAACTCATACAATTTATCATTATTATCTCTTCTCTTTGTTGTTTTTCTGACACTGAAACCAACAGACCTTGAATGAGCTTTGTATAAAATAAATCCCTCATTGTAGTCTGATACAATATAACCTACTAGACATTTACTTATGTTTTCATCCTTGTCATATTTGTAATAATCTGCAAGAAAAGTATATATGAAACATATCATAATTTATTTTTGTCAGGAAATAAAATATTATACACAGTAAATAAATATTCTTTAAATTTATGATACTTTAGAATTATCATGTCTTAGTCAGGAATTACATTATTTAAATCAGGAATTACCAAATACTAGTTAGGAAATAAATAATATCAGTCAGGTTTAGGTTTATGTTTAATCAGGAAATAGATAATATCAGTCAGAAATAATAATAATGTATCTGATTATAATACGTTGTTGATTATTTTTTCAGGAATTAGATTATTTATGTAACTTATTAGTTTTGTTTTGTCAGGAATTAAATTTTGTATGTCAGGTATTAAAAAATTTTGATTAGGAATTAATTTGAATATATCAGGAATTAGATTGTATATTTCAGGAATAAAATTGTTTCAATCAGAAATTAAATTGAAACAATTTTATTAATTTAATTTCAGTAACAAAAAATAGTCAAAATATCAAAAAATTGTTCGAATCAGAAATTAGATTATTATAGTCAGGAATAAAGTTATATTAGTCAAGAAAATACATAATAAATTACTCAGGACTTAAATGATAAATATACAAAAATTAGAATATATCAGGAATTAAAATGTAAATTTCAGGAATAAAATTGTTTCAATCAGAAATTAAATTGAAACAATTTTAATAATCTAATTTCAGTAACAAAAAATAGTCAAAATATTGTTCAAATCAGAAATTAGATTATAATAGTTAGGAATAAAGTTATATTAGTCAGGAAAATAGATAATAAATTACTCAGGACATAAATGATATGGTCAGATTTAAGATAAATATAGTCAGGAAATTAGAATTTAATAACTCATGACCTTCCCTCTTCCCTTTTCAAAAAACACGTAAAATCATTTACCAGACATAAAATTAATTGAATAAAATGAAATGAATTTACTAGAAAAGAGGTTAATTATAAATGAAAAGACATATTTGAAAAGGCATGACCCTCCCTCTTCCAAAACAATGCATCTATTCACATTCTAAACATTATATATAAGTAACCATATTGTCAACAAACTGTATTCAGAAAAAGAAAAAAAAATCCATATAAACTGCTTCAGTTATAAATTTTAATTAATCTTATAAGAATATAACTACTGCTATTACAAAAGGTATATTTTTTTTCGTATTATGATTATACCTTTGTTAGTGTTGTTTTATTGAGTTTTGTTATGATTTATGTTTTCATTTTGTTTTGTTTAGATGGCTAATCAAATCCCACACCCAATTGACGCCTTAGAAGATGCACATCCAGCAATGGCTGTTGAAGAAATATTATGCATGCATATTTTCCCTAGGTGCACATTCAAAGCCCAGGCGATGATTAACTGTACATGTAAATATTATAATGAATTATGGTATTATAAATATTGGATTCCAGAAACAGTAAGAAGAAATCATAATTCAAATGAATGGTGGGTTGCATATGACATTATGAGGCATAAGGGTTATGGGTTTCATAATGGCATGGTGCAAGACTGGGCTGAATTTCTAAATGGATTACGTTTAGTTTTTGCTGAAGAAGAAGCCAGCAAATTAAAGAGAAAAAGAGAAGAAGCAAATCATCCATGCAGAGAGGCAAAAAGAATTAAAATTGAGGAAGATTATCGATCTTTGTAGCTTATTTTCAATGTTTTGTACTTTATCATAATTAAATAACATTTCAGTAATATGTAATTTGAAATTTTAGTTTATGTATTTTATTTTTGAAAATTTAGTTGATGTTATTTTATTTTTGGAAATTTGGTTGATGTTATTTTATTTTTGGAAATTTGGTTGATGTTATTTTTTTTTTTGGAAATTTGGTTGATGTTATTTTTTTTTAGTTGATGATATCAGTAGCTTATACTCAGGAATTAGCATATCTTAAACAGGAATTAGATTTTTTAGATCAGATATTATGATATATTATTCAGAAACAAAATTTACTCAGTCAGGTTTAAGATAAAATTAGTCAGGAAACAGATTATAATAGTCAGGAGTTGTAATACCAATATAATTTGCAGTAATTAAATGTTTTGAAATCTATTATACCCAGGAATTACATTATGTTAGTCAGAAATTAGATAGTTCTTGTCAGAAAATAGATATGGATAGTCAGTTTAAAAATAATAATATTTAGATACATTATTACTCGTCAGGTTTAAGATAATATTAGTCAGAAAATAGATAATAATATTCAGGAATAATAATATTAATATTTAGATAGACTAATTAAATGTTTTAAGATTTATAACACTCAGGAATTAGCATATATTAGTCAGGAATTAGACAATTATTGTCAGAAAATAGATATGGATAGTCAGTTTTAGGATAATAATATTCACATGTATTATAACTTAGTCAGGTTTTAGATAATATTAGTCAGAAAATAGATAATAATAGTCAGGAATTGTAATATTAATATTAAATACAATAATTATATGTTTTAAAATTTATAATACTCAGGAATTATCATATATTAGTCAGGAATAAAATAGTGCTGGTTAGAAAATAGATATTGATAGTCAGTTTTAGGTTAATAATATTCAGATATATGATAGTCAGGTTTAAAATAAAATTAGTCAGGAAATAAATTATCATAGTCAGGAATTGAAAAGAAAAGAAATAAAATTATTCAGGAAATAAATAATGATCGTCAGGTTTTAAATAATGATAGTCAGTTTTAAAATAATTATAGTCAGATTTAAAATAATAATAGTAAGGTAGGGATACTAGATTTTTAAATGCAGTTAGAAATATTTTGAAATTTTCAGGAATTAGATTATTTTACTAATTTTGTTTAGGAAATAGGTTCTATTAATCAGGAATTATATTATCTGCAATTACATCAATAAATTACAGAGTATACTTTTACAGAACATTTAATTATCTGTATACCTATTATACTTGCAGCATCTTCATCTCTTTCTGCATCATCTCTTTCTTCATTTATATTTTCTTCTAGAATAACATTATCTGCTGCATTCATCATTAGTGTTAGTATATTTGAATTTCACTCTGAAATTATCAAAAAAATGGATTCAAATGAAAATTAATTTTCTGCGACAATTGTAGTTACATATTAAAATAGCTTTGCATGCAAATCATAAGTTGAAATTAAATTCGATCGAATACTATAGTAAACTTGATTTCAAAATGAATAGTTAAAATAAAATGTAATTGAAAATAAATTAGGCCTGATTTCAAATTATAAGTCGAAATTAACTATGATCTGAAATTCGATTGGCATTAATTGCAAATAATAAGTAGAAATTAACTCGAATTTAAATACGATTTGATATTAAATTGAAATTTAATATGATATGAAATTCAATTTGTCTTGCATGCGAATTATAAGTCGAAATTCATATTTCAAAATCGGTATAATACAATCTGAAATCATGCGAATTATAAATCGAAATCAATATTATATGAAATTTGAAATTACATGCAATCAAAATTATGAATTAGATTGTACCTTTTTCAGCAGTAATTGAGCTGGAAATTGATTCTATAGGTGAATTAGAATTTCCTTCAATCATCATCCTATTGTTTGATTTCTCCATGTTTTTATGGAATTTGCAGATTTGAATTATATGAATTTTGCAGATTTGAATTTTATGAAATTTGGGGAAATGAAGTGGTTGAATTTCAGTGAATGACGACGCTCGAAATTTTATGAAAATGATTAAAATGATGAAAACGACAAAATTCAGACAATTTATAAAATGGCGCGCGGGCTTTGGTCGGGTTGGTCAGGCCCGCGCCTTTTTAATTAATGAGCCCGGACTCACGTGAGTCCAGTCTCACGCAAAACGTTTTGAATTGAATAATAGTATAATTAATGTACGTAGTCAAGTATATAAGTCTAAATATTGTCTAGGCAAGTAGGTAATACTCCGTATTACAAAGCAAGTATTGTGATTTATGACATGCAATCAACATGTATAAATAAGAAACAAATGAAGGGTTACTTTATTTTCTTCTTCAATAGCAAACCTTTTAAACTCGAGTCTCATCAAACAAGAGAAAAACTATTGAATATTGATACTCGTCGTTTTGTTAATTAATGCGTTTAAATAGTGCACCAAACAATAGAAAATGTACGCAAAAAATTGTCATAAAATGATGATTCAAGATTTCAAGGTCTTGAAAACCATGTGAGTGCAATCCCCACAAGTTCATGGGTTGCACCTTATTTCATGGCTCGTGTCACTACACAATTTGTTGGAAGAAAGATGTCACTTTTCATTTGAGATGAATTGGCACTAAGTTGTAATTTCTTGACAATAATATCAACTGTCCAAACAGAATTACTTGGTCTACTTCTATGTTTCATACCTGAATTTTACTTTTTTTTTCCTTAATAAATTAATGTAAATAGTGACATTGTGTTACTAGTTTTGTATCCTTTGTTTTATCAGGCAACATATACTTACCCTCACTTGAGAGTAGAGGAGAGGATAAGGAAATCCCTACCCTCA